AGGGCCCCACTCTTCCAAACTACTGCTGAGCTATAAGCTCCTTAGTACAAGTCAGTTTGTTATATGGATAAACTAGTTGGCAGTGTTACTTGAACCTATGCCATTGTGAAGGTCATAAAAAGTCCCTCCATGACCTACAAGAGACAAAAATGATAATGATAATTCATGACAATTGTAAGTAAGTCTAAATAATAATGCTGAAGGAGACAAGAAAATATACTTTCTCTATTCCCAGACACCAACTTTTGTACCATATGAACACAAATGAAATGTCATTCTTCATTCACAGCAGTCGTTTGGCAATTATTATCTGGCCTCCACTGAAAGAGCTCATAAATAGTTCTCAATATACATTAACAATTTTTACTGTATTTGCAGTTCTAATGTCTTCAGCCTCTTTCACACAGTCCACTGCCAGGAAAGTCCCACTTTCTTGTTTCCCCATCACCGAGACAGGCTCAGGAGCCCAGCTGTCTGAGTTTATATCCCAGCTCTGCCACTTCCTGGCTCTGTGGCCCTGGACAAACTGTCCAACCTCCATCAGCCTCAGGGTCCTCATGTATTAAAGGGGGTGGGGTGCTTATAACACCTATTACTGTGAAAATGCAAAAAGATATTATATATGAGGCACTTGGTACATATTAAACTTTCAATAAATATTATTCATTATTACGGAAATCTGCTTTATTTGCAGCAAATTATTCTGTGGTGTGTACAGCATCAGCATTTGTTGGACTTTTTTTTTTAATTCAGATCATCTTAGACACTTTCCTTTAAAATAAAAAAAGTAAGGGATCTCAGAGGGAAGGTGGGGAGGGAAAAGTGGGTGGGGAGAGATTAATCAAAGAACTTATATGTTTATAAGCATAACTCATGGACACAGACCAGTGGTCTGGGGAAGGCCTGGGGGTGGGATGGATGCTGGGTGGAGGGGATCAATAGGGGTAAAAAGGGGACATCTGTAATGTTTTCAACAATAAAGATAAAGAAACTTAAAAAAAGAATAAATAAATAAAATTAAAATAAATAATTTAAAAGTAAGGCAATCCAGAATTAATATATGGATGCACTTGAGGTTCTTTAGTGGTCACAGGAAATTTGGGTGACTAGTGCCAGAACACCTCTAACAGATTGTCTTTGATTGGCATATCAAAACGGTTCATTGGCAATTGTGAGAATTGCTCATACAGTGCCACAAAGTATATTAGCAACATCTGGACTAGTCAGGGGGCGGTGAGAGATGGCAGTGGTAGTTGGGTTGTTAATTCCTAAATTAAGTGACTTAACCAGGTGCTTAGTATCCTGAGTACAGAAGCAGCCTGAGGCACTTTCTGCTTCTGTCTCTCCATTTATAAAATGGGGATTACTGTCTTACACATACCTGCTTAATAGGAAAGATTAAAATAGCAGCTTTAAAGGATGGATCTAAGTAATCGTCATGGCTGTGAATTTAGCCAGGGGCTTGGTTACTGACACAGGAACGCACAGTCCCCACTCGGCCTGAGTGGCCTCTCTTCCATGCCACCTGGTTGCATTTTAAGTAGCCACATTAGGGACCATGGAGGCTCCGGGTTGAATACTGTTCTCAAGCATCTTACAGCTATTTGAGAGGCTGGCTGGGAGAATTGGGTGTGGTATGCATCCCATACAGCTTACCAATTCTGTGGGAAATATATAAAATTCCTTTGGCCAAATAAATGAAACTGACAGGTAAGAGAGGAAGAATAGTAAGTAGGTAGCAAAATTCCCACCTGGAACTGGACTTTCCACCAGGGAGAATCAACAGGTATTAACAGCAGCATCCCAGGTGCTCGATTACTCAATTGCTTGCAGTAATTAGGGAGGGGGCCAGTTTAAATTGCATAAAGGGCTGAATTACACAATACTTTTTTAAGCAAAAGATGTATTTCTTATGTCCTGGCCTGATGGGTGTCCTGCTTTCAGGAATGAAGAGGAGGGCTTGTTGGCATACCAGAGCCCCAACTTGAAACCCTTCAGGATGCATTTTATGAATTATTTTAAATGTTCCTCAAGAATTGCTGTATATACTATGGATTTGGCTTAACAGATCTTTCCTATAGCTGGCACAGCCTTTGAACTGACCACCAGGAATTGGGCTTTCAAATTAGCACAGCCCAAATGTATGATGTTTTGCTGTGTTTACAATTAAGGGGATTAAACAGCAAAATTCGTAATAAGAATGCCAAGATTAATCCTTAAAGTCACACTGTGTGTGGGGGCAGGGGGGAGTATTTTAAGAGACTGTCTTCTATAACATCTGATGGATTAGAATAAACTTGCCAGATGTTCAGTGGCCCTGAAAATAAATGCACAACACCAAGGCCAACCCAAAACCCAGATAATTTAGCTAAATAATCTAGTGGTTAGAAACACTACGGTCTATACACAGTTGGACTGTTTTTTCGTCACCTTAACTAGTTATTCCCAATGTAATGAAAACCCCTTTAAAATTGAATTCCTAACATAATCAGCAGCCCATTGCCAGGACTGGGAGGCTGCTTCAACATGTAATTAGAGTGAGGCTAAGTCAGGTGAGCGGCAGGAATTATCAGTAGATGTGGGTAAGCCCCTGAAAATGAGCAATGACTGTCCTATGTCACATTTATCATCTCTTTTGCAACAGGGCTACGTGAAAGGCAAGTGGAGGGGTTTTATAATGGCCTCAGCTGCTGTTGGTGTGGGTACTTAAATTTATGTTGTAAACTGATGTGTATTCATGCCTACAAATTACACCTGAGAGAAAACTAACAATGTCAACCTCTGCTGACATACAGCAGTGGGAGATTTTGTAAAGGATTTCAGACTGTTCTCTGCACTCGGGTTTTTCTTTGTAGCATCCATGTACAAGGCATTTCTTTTCCTTTATTGTGTCTTATGATCCTCCTTGCTTGTGATAGAAAAAGGAAGTTAATGGGGTGGATATTTTTTCTTCCTTTCAAACCAAAAGACAGGCTTGGATTTTTTTTTCTTTCTTCAAATGTTTTCTTTAAATATGTTTTTTAAACCAGACTCTCAGCTGGTGATATTTTGCTCTTTTAAAGACCACCCCTTTCATCCTCTTCCTTCATATTCTTTGGTATCAGTCCCAGCTCATAATTGTCTCCCATTTAGCCACAAGGTGTAAATTTGCTAACTGAAAAGGCGTGCCCTAACAGTTCATCTCCACGTATGTCCAAAGCCTGAGCTGGCTGCACTGGATAATTTCCCTGGGGGATTGTTCTGTGTAATGTGGGGCCATTTGTTGAGCTGTCTGATGTGGAAGAAGAGAAAATGAAAGGACCTGCCAGACAGAAGCAGGATCATACAGTGCCTTTGAGAGCAAAAAGCAAAATCAAAGGGCAATTTCAGGTCCACTCCAGTTCCCCAAGCATATGCCTGGGAACTAGAGATTCAGGATTTTTTTATTAGTATTTTTAGAAAAGTCACTAAGAGAAAGCCCCAAATCAGGGGGTTATGACAAAATTAGAAATGCCCGTGGGCTGTGCTCAGAAATTACCACCAATTCAGAATACTTCTGTAGATGCCTCAGAGATACTGATTCTTCAAGGGTCTACAGAAATGTTTGAACTAGAAGAAAAAATATACATTGATATTGACTCTAAACTCCAAAAAGGTGTCTACAAGATAATTAAATGTCTAATTGAAATTTATCAACTTAATTATTAAACTTAGGCTTCTTACAAATGACGTGAAAACAAATTGTGGGTTCGTTTTTCTCACTTTTCAAGGTTTTGAGCATGCCAATCATAAATTCAATAAATTGCATGTAGCCAATAATTTGAAATGCAAAAGTATAGGAATCCTTTTTCTTTTTCTTTTTTTTTTCCTTTTTTCACAAAAACGTATATTTTAGGTGGGATGTCAGGGCCACTTAATGTTCTTGCGTATGACGTGCGTGGTAGGACTGAAAGAGAGAGCCTCGGGCCCTGCGCCTGTCGGCTCATCTCGGGTGCGCGGTGACTCTGAAGATGCAGATCTGCAGACTGCAGTGGGGAGGACCGCAAGGGGGAAGGTTCCAGTTCTTTCTTGCTGCGCGCATTCACAGCTGAGGTGAAGTGACCGAGGGAGTGGTCTGAGCATGAGGAAAGTCACAAGACGCCTGCCTTTGCGTCATTGGGCACAGGAAGGTGCCCAGGTCTTTTGAAGGAGTGTTCATATTAAGTTGGGGCATGTTCATAGAACTCCATTGTCACTTTATCTGAGTTGTGTTCTCTCCCAGCAGATGGCCAGGCCCTCACATGTCCCTGTGTTGTAGTCTGTCAACTTTTCTCAATTTGACAGATAGTTCCATTTTTAGCATGAAAAATTTGGAGTGGTGGGGGTAGGAAGGAAGGTGGATTGTCTGAGTTCCGTGTGTGATGATCCTAGTCTAATTCAGTGACCTCACTTCTTCAGGCTTCATTTGTTTTTACTGACCACACGTAGGGCAGTGAATGTTGACTCCCTCCAAAAGACATGGAAAGTGATACTTCCTTCCGACCCTGTTCCCAGCAGTGACCACTAATAGCACTTTGGTATAATTCTTGCAGAGATTTTTCTTTACATATACTAAAGTATTATTGATTTTGTTATAAAATGAGATAATAAGGAAGGTGTAAATTCTTTTTACTTAACAGTATATCTTAGATATATTTTCATGTCAGTACATGTGCACTCCATTCATTTTAAGGACCACATGGTATTCCACCTCATGGCTCGGCCCTAATTGATTTAACTGCCTTCTATTGCTGGGCATTAAGGTTGCCCATTCGACTTTGATCTTTCAGGAGAATGTACCATGTGCCTAAACAAACCATGATATATTGGCCAGAAATATACACTCTTGGCCCCCTGTGTTGGCATAATCCTTCCCAGTAGCAGGAAAAAAACCCCCACAAATATTTCCCTCTACTGATGATTGCTGATAAATGTAAAACCTATATGTGATTCATCGTTTCTTTATTTATTTGTCTTTGTTTTTGCCTTTTTCTCTTACGCAGTCATCTACAGCCAGGGACAAAGATGAACCAACTCTACCGGTAGGAAGCAGTGGCCCTGTCTGTGCCTGTCCATGTGCCTGTGGAGGGAGGCGGGGAGGAGGGGTTCACGTGCTCAACAGATCACCCTCTCCCTTGGAATACTTAAGTGGTTTAATCTGCCGCTGCGTGTGTGTTGCTCTGGCCTATGGTTAGTGTCAGCTGAATTCTGACATTCACTGGTGAATTATCTCTGGGACTAGATTTCAAAAAGTCTGAGTTCTCTCTTTCATTCAGCATGGACTTTTAAAGGAGTTGAAAGAGTGAGATAGTTCCAAATTGCATTCCAAGGGATGTTGAGCTGATATTTGGGGACAGTGGGGGGGTCTAATGCTTGATATCTGTTTCCTTTGTGTATCTGCATGCACCTAGTTTTTGGTTGGCACTTTCTTTTGGTTCCATAAAAAGAAATACTGCATGAGACCTATATATTCAGTATATACATAATGCCTAAAAGAATGCTTTAAGTTCTCTTATAGATATAATCCTTTGCTAATGAAGATCTTCACGGCAGAGTTGTGCCAGTTTCTCAGAATAAGAGCCATAGTAATAGTGGTCATGACCAATTATTAACAACAAGCACATGTCTCAGTTCCTGTCCAATTAACACAACACGTTTTGCGTGTGAAGCATGCCAAGGAAATGGCCTTCAGAGTTTTTGTCTTCAGCATCAGTGATTACATTTCAGATCTACTCACATCTCTTAACCTTGCCCCTAAAATATTTTGAACCTTAACTATCTGAATCAAATAACACAACTCATTAAAAAATGTTAGCGATCTTTAAGGCAGAAGGGAGTAGGAATGGAGATACATACAGTTCCGTCCTTCCTCCTCTAGGGCTTAAAGCAAAGATTTATGACATTCACTGAGAGCCCATAGGATATTCCAGATCCAGTACTGGGCTAGGGGTACAGGCCCAGTCTCTGCCCTTGAGAAGCCCATGATCTGGCTCACCACTGAGACACCAGTAATCCCCTCTGATTCTTCTCCAGACCCTGTAGAGTTGGGAACATAATTTCTAGTAGAATATCAATCAGAATAAAATCACACTAAGAAAGTCAGACATTTCCATGAACCTCATACTGACATTTTACCCATACTTCAAGCTTTCTATGGATTTGTCTCCAAACATACAGACTGTGATTGCTAATAAGTATTCTTCAAAGTGAGGCTCCGTGGGCAATAGTTCAGAAACGCTGTCCAAGTTCACCAAGTTAACCTGATTTTTTTAACTCAGTGGTCTAATAAGTACTTAAAACTCTAAAGGTGCTTTAGTCTAAGGTGTAGCACTTTCCAAAGTATTTGACCTGGAGTATCTTCTGGGACTTTTCTCAGGAAGCACCCTGTGGATCTGGAGTGTGATGGAATATTTTGGAAAGCCCTGAATTGTAGAGGGTTGGAAAGGCAGTGGGAAATAGTATTTTATTTTTAGCTGACCCCAGAAAAATCTCATGTCAAGATTTTGGACCAAAAGTACAATAAGAAATTCCTTTCCACACGTTGTGTTTCCCTCTCTTAAATCTCCCCGTCTGTGAAGCTTGGCCTCTGGAGCATTGGTTGTTCCCCGTGACAACCAACACAAATCAGCCAAAGAAGGAGAAAACTGTTCTTATTTGGGATGAAAATCTCTCACAATCCAGACAGTTTGGATATTTTTTTAGATTGTTTTTTAAGATTAAAAAAGAGAGAGAGTTTGTTGGTAATCTCACCTCTAGAGGTTTGTTCTACCTCTCTTACCTGTCAGTTTCATTTATTTGGCCAAAGGATCACACTTAATAAGAGTTTAGGCAAAAGAAATCCCCTCTTTGAAATTAGGAAGTTTCTCTGTAGATTTGGGATAAGTAGTTCTCTCTCTTTAAATCTCACTTAACACAGACTGTAGAGCTTCATGGATTAGAGGCTGTGGTGCAGGGCAGAGAAGAGGAACTCCAGATGTGTGACACGTTCCTTTGGGGAGCAAGGAGAAAATATTAACACTTCTGTCATTTGCTTTCTATATTATTCTTCATAGTTCCAACTTTTTCAAATGTTTTATAATATACATGCTCATATTTTAGTATGGGTGTGCATATAGATAGATACAGATATAGACATAGATGGATACATAGCCGTCTACATACACACTCAAGCATTTTACTGATAGGGTGCACAATCCAAACGTTGTAGACCACCCACAGGTTCAGATAACAAATTTTGAAAGAAGCAAACTTGAGATTCATTCTTCTCTCCTCCGTTTTTTGTCCGTGTGAATTGGACGCCTCGTTTCACTTCTCTGAGACAAAGTTTCCTCATCTGTCTAAAGGGAATAACGACAGTATCTAGTTCATTGAGTTCATTTTGAGAATGAAGTATATAACACATCAACTAGCGTTTACGAAGCTCTAGAAATGGTACCAACTAATTTATTTAGTAGGGAAGGCTGTGAGAAAGCCATTCCTTTGGGGAATTTGAAATGTACCTTGAAAATCTTTGGTCAGTAGTGTGTGATCATGTGACAGAAACAAATGACCACCAGACGAGGCGAGGATCTTATCTGCAATGCACTTGCCTTTGGTTTCTGAGAACTAACAGCCTCTTTGTCTGGTTTCTCTACTCAGGCTAAGCCACGTCTCCAGCGAGGTGGAAGCTCTGCCTCCCTCCACAACAGCCTCATGAGGAATAGCATCTTCCAGCTCATGATTCACACCCTTGACCCACTCGCTGAAGGTAAGCATCAGGCTTTAGCTTGAGAGCTTGTTTGAGGGGAAAGAGGACGTGTTTCTCTTCATAAAACATGACACTTCCATCACACAAGCCTGCCAATGTCCCCGTGTTTAGCATCTTCAGAGGAAACTCCGGCCCTTTGGTGTGCTGTATCTGCAACAGCTCAGTTCATAATCGGAGATTTTTGTACCAGGGGTGAAATCGGCCATCCGTGTAGCTCTTGATTCTGTCTTTTGAATCCTCCATCATAAATACAGCGTGTTATGAGACGGAGAAGACAAAGAGGTTTTTTCCCCTCCCCACTAGAGTGGGAGTTCTCTTTTATTATTCTTCCTAAGTTCCAGAATGAAGTCATATGCTAAGATAAATTGTGCATCTTAAAAATAAAAAAGTGAGAAGAGAACTCATGACTTAGGAGGGCTGAGAGTGGTTTGGGGAGTGACGTTCACTGCTAAACATTGATATTGTACTGATTCTTCGGCATTTGGAGGGTGGGAGGTGAGCTTCTAAGCATCTGAAGGACTCTCTAAGGTGCGCTTAGGGTCAGTCACAAGAGTCCCAAAAGGCCTGATTCACCTCCTCAGGAAAGCATATGAACTATCCTAAAGCTCCAGTATGGAGTTCTTTCAGTTTCACTCGTTCACACTGAAGGCAGAGACATCCAGTTTCTTAAATTGCATAACTACCCTAAAAATTAATTTTTCAGGTAGGCCGATATCTGATGTATTAAATAAATATCACTAGCAAGGGGTTCACATATAGCCAATTCTGTTCTCCCTTCATCCATGGACTTATAATTGGACTTGATATGACACAGGGACTAATAAGCTAGGGAAAAGGTCTCTCACTGAATAAAAACGTGGGATGAGATTGTCAAATCATGCCACGTAAATCAGCTCTTACCCAATACGAAGCTTTGCTAAATGATATCCAGGGACAGGCAATCCAGAGGTTCAGATGAAGTAAAGAAAACTCTGGGACCTCAAGAGTGGCTTCCAGGCCCTAGCTCCCCTCACTGACACACACCACTCCCCCAGAATAATAGGGGAGGGCCAAGGGGTCACCTCTCATTGTGGAGTTTATCAATGACGAAAAATTTTTCATTCATTTTGTACCCCAGAGACTTGTACAGCTCACGTGATACTCTCCAAGGAGCCCTGCTTCATAGACCCTGAGTTCTATATACAGCCAGACACGCCCTAAATATTATCACTCTTTTTACCTAGAGGCCCACTGGACAAGGAAATTAGACCTGGTCACTAGCCACCTTCTCCGGGCACCCCCCAGAGAACGGAGTGAAGGCATCACAGGTCACCTTTCCCTCAGCCTCTAAGCCATTGTTTGACTTTGGGCAAGTTAGAGTCTCTGTAGCATGTACTTGGTCTCCTCATCTATAGTAATAGACAGTGACCTCTATTTAGCACTTCACAGTTGACAAAGCATTTTCACAACTGTAAACTTATGCTTCACAATAACACTTCATAGCTGACATTATTCTAATTTATAAAATATCATACCACCAACATATCTCAAATATGTCTACTGCTCTCTCTGCCAACACTTTATTCCAAGCCATCTTCATCGCTTACCTGGGTTCTTGCAGTAGCTTCCCGGCTGCTCTTCCACTTTCTCCATTGCCTTCGTCTTTGTGTATTTTCCACACAGCAGCCCAATTAATCTTCTTAAGAAGTAAATCCAATATGTCAACCCTACTTATAACCTGTGGTGGCTTCCCATGGCTCTTAGGAAAATTGTGACCACTCACTGTGGTCTACATGATCTGCCTCTTTCTCCAAACTCAATGTGACTGGCTTGGCTGTAGCCACAGAGGCCTTTCTGTCCTGAAACAGGTACTTCTCTCCTGCCTCAGGGCCTTTGCATCGGCTGCTGCCGCCACCCAGAATACTTTTCTTCCTCGCCCTCTATTTTCCTGCTTTACCCCTGCCCATTCTGCAGCACTCTGTCTAATGACACTTCCTGACCATCCAGTATAAATCAGGGCCCCAACCCTCATCTCTCAGTGCACCCTTTAATTTTTCTTTATTACTCACATTACAGTTGTGTGATTATTGGTTTACTGCCTGTCGCCCCCAGGATGCAGTAAGTTTCTCAAGAGCTGGGACTCTATTTTATTCACTAGTTGTCCCCAAGGTCTAGCAGAGCACCTGGCATATAATAGCTGCTAAGGCTCAGAAGGATTAAGCAACTTGGCAAATTCATGCTTTTAACCTGATAGGCACACAATTTCAATGCTCTCTAAAGCCCCGCAGGTTTAAGATTGTATCTTGGTTATTTTGAGACCCTCTTTTTCACTCCATCTTTGTGGAGGACCATGTAAGAAAAAAGACGATTTTATCTACTCCAACAGAGCTAGACTCTCTGGGTCCAGATCCCAGCTCTGCATTACTAGCTGTGTGACCTTGAACAAGTTACTTGACCTCTCTGTGCCTCAGTTTCCTCATCTGTAAAATCAGGATGATGTACAGTTATGTCAGCATTACGAAGTTGTCATAAGTAGTAAAGGAGTGAAGATACGTGAAGCATTTTACACAGGGCCCAGCAGACCACGAGTACCATATACAGCTTTGGAATTATTCTGTTTCATTTTTTTGAAAAATAATACAGCATATGATTTTTATAAATTCAAAATATTCAAAAGGTTATGGTAAAAAATAATAATAATAAGTCTTCCTCATCCATCAACCTCTCAGTTTTCTTCAGTCCTCCAATTCTCCCCAGAAGAAACCATAGCCACCATTCTTGGGGCTCCTCCCAGAGATGTTCTGTGCATATACAACTTGTGTGTGTGCATGTGTGTGAGACCAAGAGAGACCTTGCCCACAGGTCTCAACAATCTAAATTTCTCTGGGTTGTTTTTTTTTGGTGGGGGGCAGTTCAGATTCTGGTAGGGTCTTTTTCAGTTTGTTCATTTGTTTCTGTTCAGTGAGGGAGGCTGCTTTGTTTCTGGGAGGTAAGAGAACGTGAACCTGGGTGGTCCTGGAGCTGGGCCGTGGGTGACTTTCTGACACCTGGCCGTCGTGGGGCAGCGCTGCAGTCGAAGTGTCCTCTCCCGCTGTATCAATATGCGCCTTCGGACCGGGCGCCGCTCTCAAGGTGAAAGCGCCTCCTGAAAGACGGAGCGCTCCAGCGGTGCGAATCCGAGCGAGTGCTGAGAGCCGTAATCGCTTCTGGACTTGAGTGATTAGAAAATACGGAAAGCACTTCGGTGCTTTAAAATTGCTCCACAGCACGCAGCCAAGGAAACAGATTGCTCCGGTATTTATCCCCCCAAATTCACCAGTATTTTCTAGTCCAAGAACAGCTGAAAAATTAACCCACAGCTCTCAGAAAGCGTCTCTCTGTTTTAGTTTGCATCTAATCATTTGAATTCACATGCCCTTGTGCCAGACTGTCACCTTTAACAGTGTAGAGCGCGCTGCTTACATCACCAGGTTGACAGCATAAACACTGCAGTAGCTTCCCTGTTGCACTAAAGGACAGTTCCCTGGTGTTCCTGGCGTCCACCGAGCATTGACACCAGGGGTGTACGGTCTCTGTTCACAAAGGGAAGTTTTCGACTTCATTTGAAAACATCATCTAGGACAGATGGCCTAAAGGAGAACATTTCCCTTCCTCTCATCTGTGCCCCTCAGGTGTTTCTGTCTTCCCAACGCCAGTGTTGAGCCCTCACCGAAAGCTTTAATTGGTGGTTGGTTCGGCCTCTGAGCCTGAGTCACAAGACCTAGCCGTGTTTGTGTTTCAGTTCTCTATTGATATGTAACAAAGCACCAAGACTTAGTGATTTAAAACCACCACTATACTGTTCATTGCTCATGATTTCATGGCTCAGAAATGTGGGCAGGGATCAGCGGGGTGATCCTTCTGTCCCATGTGGTATCAGTCAAGGTCATTTGGTGTGATTCAGCTAGTAGATGGGCAGGTTGGAAGGCTCCAAAGGGGCTCACTCTCATGTGTGGCACCTTTGTAGGCACAGCTAGAAGGCTGAGATCAGTTGCACCCTCCTGGCTCTCCAGGCTGTCTCTGGGCCTTTCCACATGGTTGGACTTCTTACATGGCAGCTAAGGGTTCCAAGAGCAAGCCCTCCAGTGACCTAGCCTGGGAAGTCTCAGAAGAGCACTTTTACTGCATTATCAGTCACGTGGTCATGACGGCCAGCCCAGACTGAAGGGCAGGAGGAGACTCCACCTCTCAATGGGAAGATGCCAAAGAATATGAAATCACCTTTCATCTAACCCAGTCTGTCTCAGGGACACACGTCGCTGGTTGGTTCACCTGTTCACTGTTCATTGGTGTGGAAGGGACAGCACCATAATCAGCCTGCCTCAGGTAAAGGTTTAGTCCAGACAAGGCTGGGCAATGGCTTTCTAGGGCCACAAAATTCTGAACAGAACTTTGATCATGAAAATAAGGAATCTACTTAAGGCTCGTGTAAATGGTTGAAAGATTTTGTTCCTTTTATTTTTAAAAAAAAGCCCTGGAGAACTAGAATCATCAGTCTTTGAGATCACAACATGGCTATCTGAATTGATCTTTCTAATAAATTTAGTGTCCCATATTGATTTTAACATTTTCTCCAAACAAGTTATTATACTTACCCAGGTGTACATCTTTATGAACCTAAAACAGGGACACTGGATATAGCACTTTTGGAGTGAGAAGTAGCTCCTACTACCAATGCGTCTAATAATAATAGCACCGCGTAACATTTGCAAAAGCTTGTAGCCCAGGCACTATGCTGAGTGCTCTACATATACCTTCTCATTTAATCCTTGCACTATCCCTGCTCCATTATTCAGACGAGGACACTGATGGATAAAGACATGTGTCTTGCCTCACTAAGTGACATAAGAAGTAAATGGCAGAGCCAGAATTTGAACCTGTATCTGCCTGATTCAAGGTCTGGGTTTATAGTTTTTATGCTATTCTGCTGCCTTGTGTAACCTCACATCCAACTCAGTGTTCTTCATTCTCCAGGTGTAGAC